AAATGTCTCATAGTTGTGCATCTTGCAGCCTTTAGCTGGTTGAGGCGGGGCGTAATGTGGCGTAAACTAACTTTAGCTGGACAATAACTTTATCCTAATGCGTAACAATCTGTTACGGTAATTTCTATTATAACTGTAAGGCTGCTTTGAAACAATCCATAGGCCTACGGTTAAAAGCGGTTTATAAATGAAGGTGACTTGACTTGAATAATGTCTCATATTATGAATGAGTCAGAAGCCTGAAGCAGACTTTGCTAACGGCAACAAGGCTAACAAGCGAGACTTGTTCCAATCTGAGAGGAGTCTAAAGACCTAAGTACATAAAACATAATATGGTGTGACATCGATTCAAATAGTGAGACAGTATTTGTACATGTCAAACTGCATAACTTAAGCACACTTCACTAGACTGAATAGACACAGTATTCCAGACATTCAGTGTGCCATTCCAAATAATGGGAAAACAATTTGTTTAAAACATATTGATGATTGGAAATGATATGAAATTAGATTTTACCCTAAATTTTCTCATCAACAGTCAATGAGAAAAAAAATCTGGTCTGTTTACAACTTGAGCTGGAAATAATTTGACCATGCATGTTATTCATGGTTAGATTGCCCCAAAACAAAGGACATTAAAAGCAAAATTACTCATTCAAATCGGAAGAGATCAGACCAGCTTGGAGTTCATTGATAAGGAAAACAAACACCTGGATTGCTTTATTGTGGCTAATGTGGAAACCATTAAAAATCCGGCAATGACACCAAAACGTTATCATCCCATTTGTGACCAAAACAATATATTTTAAAAATTTTGTCCTAAAATACCAACAACACAATACCATACCAAGCACCTTAAATATCCACAGTAAACTGAAGACCTAGTCACTCGTTCAAGGACAATAATGTTTATGCTTGATGTTGAGGATCCTCTCCGGACAGGTGTTCAAAAGTGTTGCAAAAGGGCACTTCTATATGAAATACGGCTACAATCCAAAAAGACTCTATAACATCAGTTATTCAAAACAATCATAAACACGTATAGCTTGATGACGCAGTGATGCAGCGTGGGATCATGGGAGTTGTCATCTTCACCTCCACAGACGTTTTCGCTTTATGGGGTTATCGTTGGTGACAGAACCCATGGCGAACGGTAATGAATAATTGTTCGTCAGTGGTCCATAACAAACAACTGTGGCTTGCTATGTTACCAGCGATTCGGCTTTGACGCTAAAATATTACATTGTTCTAGTGGTTTTGGGAAAAAAAAATTATGCACAAATCTTATATAGTACCTTTACTTTAACCTTGACAGTTTCATCCCAGTGACCTGAAGAAAAACTGTGCTGAATGTACATGATTTAATCTTGTATATCAGTCCCACGTGAACAAATTAAATTAAACAAACATGATTTGTTCACAGTTTCAACATCATGGAATGAAGTCGTTTTTAAGTGAGTCAATTTAGTAGTATCAAAGTGATTTTAAATGGTTCCCTATTTTGTGTCACGTGACTGAATTATAAGATTGTACCAGCTAGATCACAAACTATTAGCTAACATGTTAGCATGCTAAACGGGTAAATAGTAAATGCTCTTTGAACAGAGCAGTGTAATTTAAATGGTTCTAATAATTCCAACATAATTGAACATTAAACACTATCAAGTCTCCCCCTTTTCTCATCTTGCTCAAAAACACATAAATTAACACTCAATGTCAACAGTTTTACTCTCCTCATTAAGTCCCAAGCAAAGCATGCTAGGTACTACGCTTTCAGCAAAAATCATTTTCAAGTTTTTGATTGGTTCACATTCGCCCTAAATAATTTTTTCAAGTAGATTGCACATTTAAGAGATTTACGTTAATCGAAACGAAAGCAAAGATCGCAAATAATATGATTGAGTAAATTGGACAATATGTGTTCTCCCATTTCCATCAGGGATGCAACTATAGTCTACATACCTCTCATAAAATCAGCAACATGTCTTGAACATATCATGTTAAGGTAAAGGTAACACTTTATTTTGATGGTCCCTTTTGAACATTCTTTTGACTATAAGTAACTTTGTAACTACATGTCAACTTATTTTAACCCTAACCCTACCAGTCTACTACTACTATACTAATTATAACACTCTAATGAGAGTTAGTCGACATGCAAGTGCAACTTGTAGTCAATGGAGTGTGTTAAAGGGACCATTAAAATAAAGTATATTAATTAAACTATATTAATATGTTCATAAATAAAATAAAAAACATTTAATATACATAAAATATAGCAAATTAGATCAAATATGTAATTAAATGTACCATTAACATTAGATAATATATTAAAAATAATATTATACAAGATATTTACAACATCCTGAATGATTAAAAATGTCACAATCCGAGTACTTTCAGGTTTGCTATCCGGTGAGGCACAAACTTGCAGCTGCTCTTGATAAGCATCTTCCATAAACCTACAGCAATCATCCTGTATTAGATCAGCGTAGGGAAGCTGAAATCTAAAACTTGTAATGGAGACTGCATCATTTCAGCAAATCACATGATTCCACCCCCAGTCATTTCACAACAGCAACAGATATGAAATTATACCGTGCGTTTATGCAATTAGAAGCTGCAGTTCAAATAAACCACCAGCACAACCTTAAAACTGCATTTTTAACCCAGACTGTGGAACTCCCTAGCAACAAGAAACTAAACGATTCACTCTTTCTCACTTCAAAACGCTCTCAAGGCTATAGCCAAAAACCCAGCTTTATTCCTTTCTCTCCCTCCCTCGGTTCGTCAGCGGCACGCGTGGTCCTACGAGTGCCCGGTCCACGTGAAAGACTGTGTGCGCCAAGGACTTACCATCAGGGATTACAAACACAAGTGTGTTTGTGTCGGATCCTAATCACATAATGGATATGGCATTGCACAGGACGCCTAGATCAACCCGGGCCTTCCGCTTTACACTATAAATAACAGATCTATCACAGACAGAGCTCGCATCCAGAAGCTTACAATCACTGGCCATTTGTCTTCAAACTCTTGCCTGATACCTGGAAAGTGAGTTAAGCAGCGCTAAACCTTGCCGTTGAACACCCACAAGGGGAAAAACAGTGAGTTTTTCGAGGCATGGCATGGCAAATGTGTGTGTCACGCTGATCTGATTAGGCAGACAGGTGGGAGACATGCACACTAACACAGAGGAAAGCGGGAGTTGACATATCCTGTGATCTATGAGGAACAAACTGAATCCTGGAGGCTTCGCACGTGCACGGGTTACATATTTAAACTGTCGTCCGGGATTTCAATGAAGCATTTCGGTTTGCAGAGGGCCGTTGGACACTTTAAAAGTTCTGCACGACATTTTAAGAAAATCCCACGCCAAGCAGCATCAGCACAAGCTCAGAACCACCTCACTTTACCGAGACATTTCTGTAACGTCTTTCAAACAACTTGGTGATTTTTAGTGGATGTGTGAAGTATGAGTCTTCATTTTTTTTACATTTATCTATTATTTTAGTCAAATGTTTTAAAAGGAGTGCCTGTGCAATCTTTAAAATGAACTTTTGTATTTTGTGTAACACTTTTTTTTTCTCGATAGTCCACTTTAGACATTCTACTAAGTAACTTTGCAACTACATGTCAACTAACTGTCATTAGAGTATTAGTAGACTGTGCTTAATATCTGCTAACACTTTATATTAATGCTCCCCAACAGATATTCTACTGACTAGAAGTAACTTGGCAACTACAAGTCAACTTATTCTACTAACCCTAACCTAACCATAACCTAACAGTCTACTAATGAGAGTTAGTTGACATGTAGTTGCAAAGTTACTTATAGTCAGTAGAATGTCTAAAATGGACTATCGAAATAAAGTGGAACCGTATTTTGTATCTAATGAAGTGCAATTCATACATTTTTTAAGTGCTAAAGTTGTCACTGAAAAACTTGACAGAAATAAAAGAGGATCTGAACTTTGAGCTGATTGCATAATCTTAATTATCAGAAAACATATCTCATGTTCCCATTAATGGCAGAATAACTATACCAAGAAAACACAACTGATCAAACCATCATTCAAACTGACTGCTCTAGCTTGACTATAAAATACCAGCATTCACCTAATTTCAGCTCCTATCAACACAAACATGTTCCCAAAAACATGCACTAAGCATCTTCTGCTGGAGAGGTTATTAGAAAACAAGCGCACTTGTAATATTTGAGGATGGCAGTTGGGCAGAAACAGCAATAAAGTGTTGCATCACTTTCTCCTTGCAGTGATTTGGTGGTTCCTGCTGCCACCCCAGCACACGCTCCACATGCACGGTCATATTTCATGGAGAATTTTATACAATATTATACAAAAACATTCATTTTAAAAAAAAAAGAATAAATAATCTGTTATATAACATCAATATAGATATGAAACATTTACTATTAATAAACAAAATATTAAATAAGTATGCAAATATATGTGATATAACTATGCAGGGATTCTACTTTATGAATTTGTTCATTATCAATATCTAAAGACAAACGCAGAAAATAGCAGTAATTTAATTAATTGATCACTTTCAGGTATGGTATCATACACCTGTAAACCCTCATGGCCACAGGCTGATGAAAATATGAAGGGGTAGATCGTGGTGATACCCTGCCGACAGTTATTCTTAGAAAAGTTCAAGCTTTTGGGCAGGTAGTTATTAGCATTTATGCATCATGTATCATGTAAAACTCAAGTGTATAAGACAAGTTCATAGGCACGCATGCAGATCCCAATGCTGCAACACACCCGAGCTGAAGGTTGCAGATACGATGTGTTACTGAACACAGAAACAAAATCAATGACAGAAATGCATCCACCTGTCCTTCGTGCACACAAACAACATATAACCAACAACACACAGCATCAGCCAACTCAACACATGCTGATCTCTCTTACGTGGAGATTATAATGCAATGGCAAAAGAAACAATTTGAATGTCTGAATGAAAGCACAAACCTGTCTGTCCTTTCCCGAGGGTCTTTTCTAAGCGGTATGGTCCCACGTAATTGGCATGAGGGGTAGAGCTATTTTCTTTCCCAGACAATGACATGTTTCCCGTCTAAACACACTTCACGCGGCGTTGCAGTTCTTGGGATACAGCAATCCTCTTATCGCTGGCTGCACCGGAGGACGCGCTTTACTCCAATTTAACGCTGTCTCTTTTGGTTTCTACTGTCCGTTTCAGACCGAGAGTCTGTGGTTAAGGTGGGAAAAGGAGTCTTTTAATGTGTCCTCTCCTTTCCTTCTCACGGGGGTGAACCGGGCGGCTTAAGAACCGACTGGCATCGCGGGACCTGCACAGCTTGTGTCCGCCTGTGCGGCTTCTCTCTCTCTCTCTCTCTCTCTCTCTTCCTCTTCCTCTCTCTTTCTCTCTCACTCACTCACTCTCTGTGGAGTCAGTGGCCGGTGCGCGAGCCAGACAACGCTACTACGGGGAAGGCGAGCTCATTAATATTCATAAGCTAAGCTTTCTCTATTGGATAGTGACCGAGAAACGTCAGCAGGAAATCATTCATATTAAGTTGGCAGTTTTTTTATTGAAAACCAAGAAACTAATGAACCACATTTTAAAATAAATAAATAAATAAGAATTAAATAAATGAGTAAATCTGTACGCTAAATGAATAAATAAGTAAATAAATATGCATATAAGTATGCAAATGCAAATAATAGGCCTAAAAACAATTTGGCAAATGTGTTTTTGACAATTATGTCCTGTGTTCAATTTTTAAATCAATATATTAAGTTTGTAATTAATTTCATTGAATATGCATTACATTTATTTACTTTCATGGTTTACATTTGGCAAGTTTGCTTTAATGTAGGCTACTGTAGGCTACATGAAATTTAATAAAGAAGTCAAGTCTTCGCCATTGGAGGTTGGACATGTGACATCATCAAACCCTAATGCATATTAATGAGATACGCCTTTATCGTAGTAGCATTGGTGGTTCCGCGTGCAGAGGCTGGTCCGCAGCGCTTAATTCTGATTGACGGAGAAGCTCGCCAAGCGCGAGAGCGTCTGTGTGCCGCAACCACAGGTCTGACCGCTGAGTGTTCTCTAACAGCAGATGATTGTAAAATCATTGCTCTCTCTCTCTCTCTCTCTCTCTCTCTCTCTCTCTCTATATATATATATATATATATATAATAGATAGATAGATAGATAGATAGATAGATAGATAGATAGATAGATAGATATTTTCTATCTTTTCTTTTATTATTCGCCACTTTTTTCTGCTGTGATCTACATGTAATATATGCACAGAGAAACAGGTTACAGTGTATCAGTGACCGGCTCATAAAGGCTCCAGTGCTGTGTTCACTGAGCAGAGTGTGTTGGCCAGGACCTTAATTTCACAACCTACTGATCTCAGACCTGTGTGAGAGTGAGAACAGGTGCTGGAGGGGCAGCCGCCAATGACACGCCTCCCCAAGTGTGACAGATAGGACCCTACTTTTGAGAAGCCCACGGCTGTGGTGGAGAGGATCTGACTGCTCACCGCAACTCACAGCATTGCATTACATATCCTGTGGATATACAGTACATGCAGTACTGTACCTCAACACATGCTTCAGTGTAACTCAATACACATCAAGGTACTTCATCTGCTGCTGTACTGTGGAATTTGAGACACATTAACAACAGTTTGAAACTAAATATCGTGAACAAAAGCCGTTCCTGGTTGTCCTCAATAGAGAACTTGATGTTCTCCTTTATATTTTTTTCCTCGGGTCCATATTTATTAATATAAGATTGAAAACCCCAACACTAGCACATACTTTCTGATAGGAACTTAAATTAAATAAGTTCAATTAAACAAGTTCCTGTATATACAGTTTACTGCCATGTTGCCATTTTCACATGACCTGCATTTTAAGTGGCGTCACATCCCTGCTATCGGCAAGTCCTCACCCGGGGCCTCATTATGGGATAGTAAAATGTCCACTCACAAATTTTTACAGAAGTGGTAAACCGTCACAGTGTTTCTCACAAACTCTTTCATGAATACTAAGAATTTGGACATACTTGAGTACTGCTTTTCACAATATAAAAGGCCTTTCGAAAGCATTTGTACATCTTTATTTGTTCGCAGACTTATGTTAAACTCAGTACTTAGCTGAGGCACCTTTACAGTCTCAAGTCTTTTGGGGATTGATGCAACAAGCTTCATACATCTGCCTTAAGGGATTTTCTGCCATTCTTTTCTTCCTCACAAGCTCTGTCAGGTTGAACCGTCGGTGAACCGCTATTTTCAGGTTTCCCCAGAGATGTTTGATTGGGTTCAAGTCCGGTCTCTGGCTGAGCAACTCAAGGACGTTCACAGAGTTGAAGGCACTCTTGCTTTGTCTTAGCTGTGTGTTTAGGGTCATTGTCCTGTTGGAAGGTGGACCTTCTGCCCATCCCGAGTTTCTGAATTCTCTGGACCAGGTTTTCATTAAGCCTATCTCTATATTTTGCTGCGTTGAGCTTTCCTTCTACCCTGACGAGTCCCCAGTCCCTGCCGCTGAAAAACACCCCGAAAGCTTGATGCTGCCACCAAACTTTACCGTTGGGAAGGTATTGTGCAGGTGATGAGCGGCACCAGGTTTCATCTAGACATGACGCCTGGAACTGAGGTTCATCAGACCAGCGAATCGTGTCCTTTAGCTACTTTTTTTCAAATTCCAAGTGGGTTTTCATTTGTCTTCACTGAGGAGAGGCTTGAGCCTGGTAACTCTGCTTTAAAGCCCAGATCCTTTTTGTCTTTCTGTAATCAAGACCATCAATTCCAGACAATGGAAAGACAAGGCCGCAGCCTGGCGCAAGCTTAGGTTCCTTGGGGGACTTCTAGTTCAGCATCATCTTCACGTTAGGACTTCTCAAGAAGGACCAAGAGAGTCAGAGAGCAAGAGGCCAAGAGCGCAAGAGGCTAAGAGGACAAGAGAACAAGAGGGAGCTGATCTTGATGATCAGTGATTTTAAAGCGTGAAGATGTCACATCCTCTGGAGGTGCGTGAGCCAATGCGAAGCTGCCTCTTTGGAGGGAGTTTTTACGACCCATTGTCTTCTAGCAGGGCATTTGAATGTTTAATTTCATTGGGTGTTTACGAAAAGAATCTACAAGATTCTTATAATACTAATTGCGTCATAAAGTTAGCGAAATGTAATGTAAATTAACAAATGGGGGACGAAGATTGGAGTTTATAGAGACTAAACATGCTACACATATGATTTTGGTTAACCATAGTATGCAAGTCATGTCTCAGACCAAAATAGTTTAGAAGAGAGAATGAATACATAGGCCAAACCACATAAAAGGAAAATTATGAGATGGAAAATTAGATACATGTTAATACATTAATCACATGGTTATATATATAGAATATATAGGATTAAAAGGGTTCATTTCTTCTTCTCAGCAAGAATTAAGAGAGTGTCACAACTCTCTGGAAATTCCGTTGGGTCGTAAAGCTTGTTATCAGTCTTAATGTGTCCTGTAACAGGACACCAGGTTCTGCCAGTGGGTAGGCTTCATTTGTGGGGGAAGTTTTATAGAACTTTGTTGGAAGAGTGAGTTTGTTGGATTCTTCATTAAATATAATGATTAATTTGTGTGTGTCTGATTGGTCCAGACGATTCAAAACGAATGGCCAAAACGCATTAAAAGTTTTACATTTTTAGTTGAAACGGTGTTGTGTAAACAACACACCTAAGAGATGTGCAAAATTTTTACCATATTATTGCATTTCTCACATTGTGCAAACAATGGTTATTACTTATTTAGATTACTGTCCAATGGTGTGGTTGAGTGCATCAAGTAAAGACTTGGAAAAATTACAATTAGTCCAGAATAGAGTGTCACAGTGTTGGTTTATGCTCCCTGGGGTCCACTAGAGGTCCTCTTCCCCCACGGTGTCATTCACATTAGGAACTGCATTCCCCACAATCCTTGTCTGCTCTTATCACGGTTCATTGCACCCAGCTGTTCCCCATCATGATTGTTAGTTTCTGTATGTATAAATACCCTGCCGGTTTAGTGTTTGTTATGGAGTCCTTGTTATTTATCACACCACTTTTGAGGTCTGTTTCCGCTCTGTTCTTGCCTGGTTATTGTTTTTGTGTTGCTTATTAGGATTTTGACCTAGCCTGGGTTTCCCCATACTGCCTTGCGCAATTTTATTCACGCTGCTAGGTAGTCTGGATACCATGGACCAAATTTTTGCCTCATCTAGGGAACCAATCACAGAACGGGGAGGGAGCAGCAAGATGATGATGACGTCTATGCGACACACCGAAGCAGTTTGTTTATACCTATGGATCCAACATGGCAGCAGACGCGAAGTTACCTTTCGATGCAGCCTTACGGTGCAGATCCACTTGTCCGTGCGACACTTCTGTTGTGCCGCGCTCCACTTTATTCCTATGGGTGACGTCACGCGACTTTAACGCGCCCGCAAAGCATCCCGGGAAGGCGGCGCTTCATTTGGAAAAATGCTGCGCGTCAAAAAGCTGGCCGATGCCCATCTTCATGCAAATGAATTCCGTTGAACGCGACGCGACTATCCAATAGAAGCAGAGCATATGTAGACGGGGGGGAAGTCTCTCGCAGGTCCTCTGTTCTAGACTGGCCGCTGGCTCAAAACCACACCCATAGCGGTAAACTTGAGGAACCCCCATCAAAGTACAAATGTGGGGAGGCGTCGCGACACCACGCTACAGTCGTGTCGCAAAAGTGGATCTCTACCGTTACGGCCGTTTCACACCGCAAGCGTGAGCGTAATTTGAGCAGCGCGTCAGCGTAACTACATCGTCACTGCAGCTGTGCGAGAGTATTCACACTGGAAGCGTTTGTCACAGCAGCGGCTCCAAAGCTACATATAAGCGAGCAATTCTTTGGTCATTTATAACATTGATAGTCTTGAAAGTTTGTTATGGGGAGGTGTACAACATTCTCATATAAATGTTAAACAACAAAACAACCCAGAAAATGGCTCCAATCTATCAGTTTCAGTCATACTTTTGATATGTTTACAAGACTGCAACTCCGCGGATAAAAAACAAAACGCACAAATAAACCACACACTCGGGTTTGATTTGGGTTGTGCTAGCCTATGTAGCTGTCTGTGTGTTATATAAACTAAAAGAACGTTTTATATATAATATTTTTTGACTAGTTTACTTTATTTTATTTTTTTATATATAATACACAACTTTCACCCAAACTGAATAATTAAAAACAAGATTTTACCGTGTAGCCTAAATCTTCTATAAATATTTGAGTCTTTTATTTGCCTACTCAAGTTCTTGATAACTCACTAGACATGCTTATTCTGTGCATTTTGGGCACTTTTTGTGTGAAATCATATTTATTTTTGT